AATTTGGGAGTGGTGAAACCCAGAAGTAGTCATCCTTGCGTATGAATCATGTCGGCAGGAGAACACACCTCTGTCCGTAGGCATATACAGCCTGAAAGCCATGATTCCCTGCCATGATTTATTAGACAGCATTGGTGACCTCCAGGAAGAAATGCACCAAAACGTATACGCATGCATATACGTGTACGTAAGTGCGCTAACCGCCTCATGAAGGAGAGGACTGTCATAGATTTAAGTCACATTGCTAGTCAGTAGGTGACATCTCATCCCTTGCACCTAATTTGGGATCTACACTCTTGTGATTGAGATTAGGCCATGAGGATCAGAAATAATATCCCTTACAGATTAACCCAAAAGTGCATATGTGCAATCTATAGGACCAGGGTTATCTTTTACTTCTCTCTTAATTTGCTTGGTGGATGTGAGCCAGTAAACAATCGAAGTTATGCTATGAGGAAGCATTGGTTGGAGGGTGAGGGGAGGAACTGCAATAACAATGACAGGTCATATGAATGGTAGAGGTTAAGAACCTGAAGTGTAGAAACCGACAGAATTTGTAAAGAGTGTGGAAGGAATGACTAAATTTTAGGTTTGAAATTTCCTCCTTGATTTCACTGTAAAAAATAAAGCAGAGGTCTGGCATGGTGGCACACCCTTTTAATCCCAGCAGGGAGGCAGAGGCAGGTGGATCTCTGATTTTTGAGGCCAGCATGGTCTGCACAGTGAATTCTAGGACAACCAGAGCTATGCATGTCTCAAAAGAATAAGTAAATGAAAAGACTGTAAGAGAGAAAAGAAAGTGGAAGCACTAAGAGAGGAAAGCCGGTTCCATTTTCACAAGAAGTTATTAGTTTCCAAGTATCAGACTGGAAAACATTTTATATTACCTCCCCACCAATACAATATTTATGGAGCAAGTTCCCTTCATAAGCTCTTAGCAATGTACATCTTCATTTTTATTTATAAGCTACTTAGTAAGTTTATTGTCTTTAATGAGAAAAAAAAAGCTTCATAGATGTAGCATGAATCTTAAAAGGTCTTATTAATAAAAGCAAACCCAGAGCCAGGTATTGGGGTGAACGCTGAAAGATCAGAGAGACAGAAGAGGCCACAGCTACCTCACCTCCCAACTACTCAGCCAATCCTGTTTCCTCAAACTGGAAGCCTCTGAGTCCTCATCTGGAATGAATCTCAGCTGAACTGCTGCTAAACACTTAGCCAAGCTCTAGTTCCTGGTTCTCACGCCTTATATACCTTTCTCCTTCCTGCCATCACTTCCTGGGATTAAAGGCATGTGTCACCACACCTGGCTGTTTCCAGTGTGGCATTGAACTCACAGAAATCCAGATGGTGTGTGTGCCACCATTTTCTGGTCTCTATATCTAGTGGCTGTTCTGTTCTCTGACCCCAGATAAGTTTATTAGGGTACACAATATGTTGGGGAACACAATATCACCACACTAGAAAATTGCATTAGCTCTCAGCAGCCCATTCCTGGGCTCTGAGGAAGCTTGCCTGCTTTTGAGCAACTCAGTCTTCTGGGCAAGGAAGGACATTTGGTTCTACCTCTATCGTTTGTCTCCTAGCCTTCTCATAGACTGGATTCTGTCAGTAGCATCATGAGCTTTCGTATGTATCTCCTCCATTGTGTCTGGAGTTATGATGCTCTTTATGAACTGAGAGAATTGTTTCCTATAAGCATGTTCATCTTCCTCTGTTAGGTAACACTTGTAATCTGTGACATTCTGACCCATGCTGTGCTTTTAGTGTACTTTTGCACTGATCTTGCTTTCAAATGCAAGGAATCTTTTGAAAGGGATAGACAAGCCACCATCCACCACTCCTTTCAGGGGCCCCAAAACTTTATTTCCAGTTGTAGTTCAGGCAAGACCTGCATCTAAATAGCAAGTGAATGCCCCAGGCTGACCATTGCTTTCCACATTGTTTTCATCTCAATTTGGCCTTCATAGATCTTGTCCAGGCCAAACCTATTGAGAAGCCTTTGGGACAGCCTCAGGCCAGTACAATAACCTGCAGCATAATTTGTCAGGCCACCTTTCACACTGTATTTTGGCAGTTCATGTGCACACGCTGCACAGACTACCATATCCCCTTCTACAGGCATACACAATCTAGCAGATGATGTCTCTGTTAGTTACACAAACTGTCATCCTGTGTTTGAGTGAGTTGTACTTACTTCAGTCCTGGATCACCAATCGTTTCTGAGCATAGTAGTCAATTTCACCCTCTCACTGCCTTCTGAATCTCACTTGGTATCTCTTAAAGTAGGCCTTATTCTTGACAACTTTAA